CCCCCGTATCCGCAGAGGCGGATACGGGGGGGGAGCAGGACCTTTGCACCCCCCTGACGGATTCAGAGGGGGTGTAGCCTCCCCCCCCCTCGAGATTTCAGAATAGATTTTCAATAACACTTCAGGGAAAGAAATCCTAGTGCAAAACAGAAAAAAATATCTATCTTCAAAAAAATGTTCGCCTGCAACGCGTCTTTTGGTTCTTAAATCTGGATTTTATTGTTCCCAAACAAATCTAGCACCCCCCTCACTTAAATCCTGTATCCGCCCCTGTTAGTGTACTACATGTAATGCAGTTTGAGAGTAAAAAATAAAGTAAATAATTATTTATTTTCTTTATAAAAAAATTAACTAAACACTGCACTATTATTAGCATCCAGAGGCCAAGTTTAATGAGTTTAAACCGCTTCGCTAAACCACCAGTAACCGGTTAAAATTGAAAAATTTCAAGTTAAACTTACAATGTTTGAACCTCGTCTAAACGCAGTTCAAATTCTTTAAATTCCGCCTCAGATTTTTTTTTATTTTGTCCCTGAGGATTAAAAATTATAAGGAAATCAAGTTCCTGTAATATGTAAAAAAAGTAAATGATTTTCAAGCTGATCAACTATAAGTTGTTAAATATTTGATATGGTTCGGATTTCTAAGAGGAAAAACTAAAGTGAAAAGATATATGATATCTAAAAGTTGAATATATTAGTTTACGGATGCACTTAGTCTAATAGAGCTGCGGAAAATATATACTTTCAGATATTCTATAGAGAACATATCTCAAGGAATGCATTTACATTGAACAGATTACTCGGATAGAACAAGAGAGTTCATGAGGGCTAAACTTTTGTATGGGATAGCGCTGAACTTAATCGATTTAACTTGATATCCACTGGATACACTGAAATCATCCCTTGAACCAATGAGAACAGTTGAACCCTGGAAAAAAGACATGGTATCCAATGTTTAACCATCAAGTTGGGGGAAAAGAACTGTTTTGGCACTGAAGCCACGTGCATATAAGATTTAAAAGTTTAGTCCTCTGTTTGTAAAAGTTGAGGAATATGTGCAGTGAATACCAGAAAACCATGTAATAGGAAGACGACAGTAAAGCAAAACTTAAAGTGTATTTGATGTTGTTTTTATGAAAAAAGTTTTATTAGCAAGTAAATCACTTATTTAGTAAAATGGGTCTTCATCCAATGTTCGTATACTCTAGACCCTCGTATAGTAATATTTGACTGTAAACATTGAATTGTTTATATTAAATTCTAAAACACGGGGTCACATGAGCCAAGAATTCAAAACACTTTAATTCATTCTTCACTTTTAATCAAATTTCATTAAGTCCATCAATAATAAATACAAACCATTGTGTGCTCATTTTTCTCCGTTCTCCAAAAGTTTTCTGATTGAATTCATGTATTTTCAAAAATAATAAATGTCGAAAAAAAATAAAAATCGGAAAAATTGATTAACCATTCACAGTTATATATATATGTAAACATCACAACTCTGATCTGGTGAAATTATATTTTTACAAACTGTTTTGCTGATTCATTTATAGCTTTATCTAATATCACGCTTTTAAGTTTCCCATCAAGCTTTCTTATCAACCATTTAGTTTTTATTGTTACTCTAAAAGTGAACATTTCCAATCAATCTCAAATTCACCCGAATTTTTTCTTTAAATCAGTACATTTTCAAAAAAAATAAATGTCGACATTTTTTTCCATCAAAATTATTAAAATTTGGCCTTTACTGAGGTCATGTAAGTTGCTTTACAAATTTTGGGGCCCATCGGTTCAGCCGTGTTGACGTTTATTAAATACAGACATATTCTAGCTAGAATTAACACTTGTTCTAAAGTACAGGTATTGAAGAATGAAGGGTGATTTTAAAACAAGTTCGGAATTGGATAATTTGTTGTCCATTTTTGTTTGCTATTGCAGGCTTAATTTGTAATTATTATCAAAAATTTAGCGAGCAAAGTTTAGTTAACAACTGGAAAATTTTGAAAATTCCGTTAATTAACGAAAATAATCGTTAAGTTATTAGTTATTAAAAAACTTCGTCAATTTTCATTCCCAATGTTTTGAAATTAGGCATTTGATCTATTCCCATTTTACTATATATAATAAGTACAATTGCTGCGCGCACGCACGTATGTATGCCTGGATCCTGAGTATAGCTTCAGTAAGGCTTAAACCAACCATGGACGCTGATGTAAACTTACTTTGATTTCTTTCTTAATAGATGACATTCGTGTAAGTAATTATATGAAATCATTATAAAAATTGTTCTTATCAATGTTATATTGTTGCTATAATACTTCAATCTATTTCAGTTAAACATCCAAACTCTTCTACCAAGTAACATCATCTGAATAAAGAATTAAAGAAAACACAGTAAATTAAAGTGAGAGTAGTTTGAAACCGGTCATTCCAAGGGAAATCAATACACCCAACCAAAAAAATCAAACAAGTAAAAATACTAAAACTAGGTATATAAAAAGTGTCTGCGAAAAAGTTGTTAAACGCAAATTATTTCAGCACACATAACACAGCTTTTCTAGCCTTGTAGATACGTTCAATAATTGTAACAATCACTTCATAACATAGTAATGTAACACCCGCTGCAAACCACTTAAATTAAACTTTAATATCGTTATCTTATTTGAATTGATGATGAACTGAAAATTGTATACAGTGTACATTGTACATTGTACACTGTAGATTATGCAGTACGGAGACTGTACACTATACACTGTGCACTGTAAACTGTGCAGTACGGAGACTGAAATAGAACAAATAGAACAATATGTCTAGTAAAAAAAAAGTTTTTCCATAGTTTTTAAAAAAAACATCCTGAGCAAACTAGGTTATAAAACTTATATATATATATATATATATATGTATATAAAACTTATTTCTTTTAGAATCGATTTGAATTTATTTTTGAAAAATACTTCTATAAGCCCCTGTTTAAAAGCTGAAACTATGTTAAAAGTTAGAGAAATAGAAAAAAAGAATGGGACTCAATGTAAATTGTTAGGATTATAGTAAAGCTGCTCTCTACTCTAACTTAATCCTTTAAGTATGTCGGAATTGTTCTTAAACCCTCTCTTTCCCACTGTACACCCCCCCTTCTCTCTTTTAAACCAAGTGAAATGAAGTGATCCCTCGTATGAAAAATTGTAATGCAGACAAATCTAACCCTCTGTATAATGTTTAAACATGCTTGTCTGCTAAATAAAATGAGACATTCCATACAACCCGATCTAATAATAACACTTGCTCGTTTTTAACCACAAAAATACAAAAGATTCAGAGCTGGGAACTTTAGAATGGTGGATATCGGGATTAATGCTTAATCCACTCTTTTTCTTAGTCTTCAGATTAAATAATGCTTGTTCTCCTCTCGTTATTAATCTCCAGATTAATTAATCGATCGGGATTAAGGATATCTCATTCTAAAGTTTTCAGCTCTGTTTACCTTCCATTATTCAGTCTTCAACTGTGTACACAAAAAAATGTGTGTTTTCGCGGATTTTCCCAAATAGAACCAAAGATTTGTTAAAAAATAAGATCAGGGGCTAAACAATTATTTGACATGTGTTGTTAAATGATTTTAATTGGATTTCATGATTCAAGATTTTAAAATTGTATTAGCTTAACTAAAATGTTTAAAGAATCAGCGAAAGTCGGATTGTAAAAAATATTTACAAAACATTTCGCTTTTATAAATTCAAAATCATGTTTTTCTGCTTTAAGAATAGAATCGACAGACCCTATCAATATTGTATATGTTTACTGCTTTTTCTTTCTATTTCATGAAATAATACAAACAAAGTCTCAAATCACATGAAATGTCGAGCTGGCTTTTCTTTTATCTTTTTATCTTTTTTCAACACATTTTCATATTTTTTTTTGTATAATACTGCTTTGTTGCTGTCTAAAAATTCTATTTGCTTCTTCAAAAGATTATTAACTCATAATTTGCTTAAAGAAAAGATGAAAAGAAATTAGATGAATAAAAGTGGGGAATAAAACTTCTTGGTGCGGGGGAATTTCCAACTTTTCCCGCGACAAAATAACAAATGTCTAGAATATATTCATTCTTGTTTCAGGCATGTTTATGAAGTATGAAACGGGATATAGCATAGTTAGATCATTTTTTTAGATATAACGTTTTTCTTCTAAATAGTTCAATCTTATTACAGATAGATAAACAATTCCTCTTTACTCTATTTAAATTCAATAAATCTAAGATGTTCAGAAAAATTCAGATCTGACAAATAAAAATAGTGAATTGTTAAGTAAACCAAAGATTCCAAAAATGGTTTGCATCTCAGCTTAAATATTTTCCAAAGTAAATCCCAGTTATAGGCCATGTAAATTCACCCCGTGTAAGACCTTTCTTGATATATATTTACGATAAACATTTATAAACCAACATTAAAAAACTCAAATCCCTTTATATTTGAAACCTGATGGTGCAAACCTTTGATTTTTCAAACTTAGATTATTTAATCTAACAGAACTTATAGTTTGGAATATCTAAGTACGACATTGGGTTGCAAAGACAATAGGGATAAGAAAATCAGAGTTTGTGACAATTAGACTCAATTCCTTGGACCTTATATATTTCAAACTGTGAGATGAAATAATCTGAATTTCTAATTCAAAAGATTTAGCAAAGAAAATACCAATCAAATCCACTCCTTTGAAATATCCCCCCCCCCCACCCCCCGGATACAGGCAACAATGAATCATCATTTTTCTCAAATTCAACACTGTGAAAAGTAGATACTTTATGATCTAATTTTAGAGATGTGTGCTGTGGAGGGAGGTGCGGGGGGGGGGCTTTGTAATGAAAAAATGTTTCATACAATGAAGCTCTATAAAAGAGTCAAATTATGAATAAGGGAAGATAATTTTTCAAGTCTTCATGCATTACATAAAATTAAATTAAATATAAAATTTAGCTAGCGCAACTATTTTTCGGATTTATGGTTTTTTTAAATTACCCAGAAATCGTCTTCTCAGTCTCAGATTAACTGGAAACATTTCCTAACGTTGCTTGTTGCAAAGAAAGACGGAGTTTTTTCGACGCACAAATGAGTAATAATGAAGAACGAAATGACGCACAGAAACAGTGGATTTTAGAACCCCCCCCACCCCCAGAAAAATGCCTTAGAAATTTGGGTAAATGTATTGGGTTACAATGAATGTTCAAAAAAATGTAGTTTTTAAATCTATAGCTCAAAAAGCCCAGTACCATTTTGTCTCATCAAAAAAAAATTGCAAAAAATCCTGTAAATTACCTTTCCTTAAAGTTAAAAAATGTCAGGGAGATGTGAAAAAATGAGAGTACTAGAACATAAAAAACAAAAGGGGGGCTCATCCCTCCCCCTCCACCTGTTTAGGGTAAAAATTTAAGTATTTTATTAACAGAGAGTTTCAGGTCGTCTTTTCAGTTTCATTCTTTGTGGGTAACCCTGTTATAGATTATTATTTCTTGTTTAGAGTTGAACGAAATACTTTAAACTCAAGTGCAGTCATTCTTTAATTGTTTAATATTTGACACATGATAAATAAATATCAAGTTACTTCCGGTAAATTTGTAATCAGTTTTCACCTTCAAAGAAATTGAGTCTTTGCCACAAATTCTGATTTTCTAATCACTATATCTTTGGAACCAAATGTTGCAAACCTTAGATAATTTAAACTATGAATTCTGTTAGATCAAATAATCTGGGTTTGAAAAATCAAAGGTTTACAACATCGAGTTCTAAAGATATTGAGATTTAAACATTTGATTTTTTGACTGATGGAGTGAGGGAATCAAGGTTATAGTGCAAGGAAAGTTATTTCAGAGATGTACGCATAATTTATAATGGGATACAAAAAATCAATGAAATATACTGGTCATAGGAAACATATTATGTGAATTATCAAAATTATCAAAATTTAATGATGTTAACCTCCTCGGATACTAAACGAACACTGATGCATCTATGCTTGTTTACATATTCCGCTCAGAGAGAACTGGTTTCAAAATGTACGCAGAGTATACGCAACTGCAATTAACTTCCCTTGCATCAAAACCTTGGGGGAAATGAACCTGCCCCCCTCTGGGATGCCTTGAAATTAAGCGTGATATTCGATAAATTCTAAAAAATAAATAAATCAGATCTGTAATCATACAACAAAAATAAATTTTAACGAAAATATCTAAATCAATTGCTGTGTTTAATGTTTAAATTTTTTATGGATATTTAATAACAAAAGTGTTTGAAGTTAAAATTGCGTTTAAATTGTCGTAAACCTTTAAACATATATATATATATAGATACATGTGGACACATATATTTTATAACTAGAAATTCGGAAAGCGTCTTGGCCCCATCTCAAATTAATTTGACATAACTGGTGACTTGTGACATCCTTGATTGGAGGAGATATGTTAAAAACAAGGAGGATTTTAATCTGACTGTAATCTACTTTAGTTTGACGTGCTAAGATAAACCTTTGCTTCTTAGCTTATCACAAGATACAGTGAGAACCAGAAAACTGTGGAACAGAAAATATGAAAGATTATATCTTGAATTTCCACAAAGAAAATGACATTCTTTGGACAGCACTAGAAAGGACAGCTAAATATACAGTATACAAGAACACTTCTACTTTTTAATCAGTGTTGTGATTCGACTGTACATAACTGTACATTCGACTGTACATAGCTTATACGGAAACAAGTTTTTTTTATCTTAACCTCACGTATTATCACTTATAAATGTGAGTGATTCCAAACTCCTATACACTTGATTTTAGAATGACTAAGAAAAAAGGATCGAGAATTCTTGGTAAAATGATGATTACATATATTGCACACTGCACAGTTTACCTAGATAACTACAATTCAATATAACAATTCACTTCTACTGCGGGTTTGTACACTTGTCGAACAGCTGAACTATTACTGGATAAAACACTGAATCAAAGAATCCAGGAAACATGAATATTTGATATTATGACAGATTGAATTGAAGGTATAGGGTGGACTCTAGTTTACCTGCCTTGCTACTCACAACCTGTATACTGTACGCAACCACTCTTAGAGCGCACCTTGCGTAACTAACAGGGTTTATCCTACCCCCCCCCCCCCCCCTCCTCTCTAAATTTATCCCGCAAAATGCATGATTTGATTTTTTGCAGCAAAAACTAACAAGTTTTCTAATTTTCTACGGGAAGAATATTTATCTTGAAATATTTGGTCTTGAAAACCAAATATCATGCTTGATAAAACAAGAACCAGATCAACGGTCTCAGCCCCTTATCACACGTATTGATGAATAGCACTAGAATTCTGGGTTACGGTTTACGTACAGAAATGATCCGGAATTTTTTTCCATTTCCATTATGGAAAAGGTTCCGGAAATCCAGAACTATTTTTTTCCGTAAACTGAAAATTTCCGGAACATTGTTCCGAAAATACATAACGTTACGGAATATTCCGGTTTAAGGAACAATCGTTCAGGAATTTTCCGGGAAAAGGTTCCGGAAAGCGTTAAAGACACCTTAATTACTTATGTAATAGATAAAACCAGTAATTAAAAGGGTTTCCAGCGAACGAAATGGTTGGGGAAAAAATGCGAAAATTTTCGGTCGCATTTCGCAAACTTTTTCGCGAACTTTTGCATTTTCTGCGAAAATAAATGAAGCGAAACTTCTTTTCGCGAAGGTGCGAAATGCGAAAATCTCGCAAAATGTCGGATGATTTATTTTCTAAAATTTTGCATTTGTTTCTAATATTTCTGTAATTTTCGCAAAATTTTTTTTTGCATAATTTCCATTTTTTTGCAAAAGTTTTGCATTTTTTCTTATTATTTTGTTCGCGAAATTTTCGCATTTTTTCACGAAATTTTCGCATTTTCTATTTCTAGTTTTGTAATAAGGTTTTGCACCTCACTACAGTTTCGTTAGAAGCAAATAGATTCCAGTACAATAGATGGCAACGTAGAATTTGTACACTCTCAGTACAGCTGTATTCTGACGTCACAAGTGTCAACTCAATTTTTGTGTCTGACAAATTATTAAAAAGAATGATAATTTTAGAATAAAGTGCTTAAATCTTAAAGTAAAATAAGTGCAATTTTATGTGTTCTTTATTTTCTGTTTTTACACTTTTTTATTTAATCTTGGAAAACAAATAATGTGAGAAAATTTCGTTTTCCTTGTTATATTTGACACTTGTGACGTCGTGTATGATTTGTCCATTTCTCTGTTGCCTTGATAATCTATTTGAGTACGAGTAAATATTTCCATTTACTGACAGCGCCGATATAAGGATTTATCTTTGATTGGATAATGAGCTAGATAGAAAGATACATGTTACCGTCATGCAATTTCTGTTGGTTCAGAATAGACAACAAACACATGTCTGAACCCTGATTGGATCAGGCGCTAATGGACTCGGAATACTATATGAGTGACCTGCAGACTAAAGCAATAGAACAACGTGGGTGTCTTATAAATATGGGAATTGAGAGATGACTCGAATATCGTCTTTGATTTCCGATAAATGATAGATTATATTCAGTGCATCAAACAAAGATTAACGTCTAATGAGATTTCAAAAATGTGGTCTACCTTCTTTAAATCTTTAAAAATGACGGAGATATTTAACTTTTAAACAGTTGTGTGGATTTCCTAATATATTAAAGTCAATTTTAAAGGTAAAAAATCGTTAGACCACATTTTGGAAATCCCGAGACTGTATAAAAACTTTAGCTTTGTAAAAAGACTGAGAGTCTGAAAATGAATCACAAGTAGAGCATAAAGAAGGAGTGAGGATCAATTTTTTATAACTTAAATTAATGTTTTTATTTCAGTTCAAGCATTGAGTTTTTTATGATCAAAAATATTTTATTATCTCAAGTAAAACAAAAACGATACTCAGTGAATTTGTTAAAATGTCGCTTTTTAATTTTTTTTTTTAATGGGAGATTAAGTGACATTTACAAAGTAATTGAACTATACGTGTGCGCGTCCTTAAAGTGACTGTTATATACGTGCCTGATTTCAAGCCAGATGTGATAAATTAACAATTAAAAATTTGCTCTTCTCCCCCCTACCCCTGTTCCCTACTCCCCCTTGAACCTCCTATCATAGTTTTAAAACGGGTATTTTTCCCTTTTAAAATCGACTGTTGTTAATAAGATTGTTGAGAAAACGAAAAATGGTTTATTATAAAAACAAGCAAAAAGTGTCCTCTAAGAACCCATAAAAGGGAAAACCATCAACGACCCTCCTCCCTCAAGTTATACAGGGTGTCCCAATAAACATGGGAATTTAGTGACGAATTCGATATCGTCTTTTAAGATAATTCTTTGATTTAGTATAGTGATACCTACTGAGAAAGCTGTAATCTGTAAGAGTTTCGTCTGCTATGTTCACATTTTGTTTGTTTATGTTTTGACTACATATGGTTGTATTTAGTAAAACAAGAAAATTCCAGTATACAAACACAGTAAATTTTTCCGTCTTCACTGTTCATCTTGAGGAGGAATTATAGACACATCTTTACAGTCTTTTACCCTTTTTATAAAATAAACTCTAGCAGACATAAAAAATATTATGGCTTTTTAAATTAGGTATTACAATGCTAATTTATAACAAAGACGATATCTAATTCGTCACTGAATTCCCATCTTTTTTGGGACACCCTGTAGCTTGGAAGCCCAGCTTTGCCTGGAAACCAAACTTTCTCTATTAAAGTCAACCCACATAATTTAGAATTTTTAAACTAAGCTTAGAATATTCCCGTGGTTCTCCCAAGTTTCCCAATTAAAATTTGAGCCAAATCGGTCAAGGGGCTCATGAGTTATGATCGGACATACAAATAAACAAACATGACAATAAGGATTACAATGTTAATTATGTATTGTGTATTGATAAACGGAGCCCAACCGGATTATCCGGAGTTATCAAAATTGTATCATTTGGTAACTTTCAAAATCTCAACCTTTTTTCTCTTTAGTCTGTTTGTTTTACAATGTTTACATTTGCTATGAAAAAGAAAACATGTTGATTTGAAATCTTATTAACAAAACATTCTTTATGAACATTTTCTGTCAGATGATAAACCCGTTAAACCCAAGCTAAAATATTTAAAATGAATCCGAAAAAGAAAAATTCAGAATCTTTTACAAAATTTTAGAAAACTGGGAAATCCGCCAAAAAAGTGCAACAAAATTACCATAAAACATTTTCTCTCTAAACAGAAAATTGTGTCTAGAACTGTTTTAAATTTTAAAGTACAAAAAGCCAATCCTGCTTTATTGAGGCAGAAATTCAAGAGAGTATAATTGAATGAAACTCTCGAGTAAGAATTAGAAAATGATGATACTAATTATATGAAAAAAAAATATTTTGAGCAAAAAAATGCATTCTCTTGTTGTGAAAGAAAAGTACGAGATAAATAAAACAGAATGTATATATACTGAGATCTAAGTTACAACATGGGTTCAAAATGATATTCTATATATTTGGTTTGGTTGCTTGGTCTTGAAGTGAAAGACGACAATCTATGCTTCTCCACATTGTCTTAAATTTATAATATTCATAACGCCGGCCAACTTTGTGCTTTTATTGAGAAAAAAAAAACTGTTTTCTGAAAAAAAAAGTATACAGAATAAAATGAGTTTTTAGTCTTCATTTAAGTTTTATTCTTTGTGAGTAACCCTGTAGGGTGTACAAAACAGAGTTAAATCAGAAATGTTAAGTATTTTTAAACGCTTTCCTGTCCTTAATAAAAGTGAGTTTGTTTGTAAAAGTATTGAAAAGACGCAAAATTAGTTCTAAATTTGTTTTCTCCCAGTTTTTATAATTTACAGAGTTTATGCATAAATATAAATGAGTATATTGATATGTTTATAAAAATAAATGAGTATATTGATATGTTTAAAATATAAATGAGTATATTGATCTGTTTAAAATATAAATGAGTATATTGATATGTTTAAAATATAAATGAGTATATTGATATGTTTAAAATATAAATGAGTATATTGATATGTTATCACCTTTCCTTCCCCAATCCCCTTCCCATTGCTTTCCCTCAATATTTGGCAAGTTTGATAAGTATTGATAATTGAAATGAATTAAGTCAACACGAAGGATCGATAATGGTTTTCGTTACAGGGTGACCTTTTGAAAAAAGTGCATTGAATGGTTTACGGAAGGTTAGTCAAGATCTTGAATAGAAAATCCCAATAAATTATGTCGTCCTCGTTCTTGCATTATTCAAGTAGTATTCAAGATTAAATCAAAAAACTACGTTCTCAGGATTTCCAAAATGTGTTCTACCATTTATAAATGTTCAAAATTGGCGGAAATATTTAGCAATGTTGTTACACCCTGTAAAACTAATGTCTTTAAAAGAGTATAAATCTGTAGATATACCTTCCAGATAAAATCAAACAAGCAGAAAGTAAAATTTTGAAAATTAAACTTTACGAAAACTAATTTCCTCTCACATTAAACTAGAGATTCAACAAGCAAAGTTATGAAATACAGTGCTCGGCAGAATACAATGGAATGTGAGGACAATCTGATAAATCATATCACATAGGACCAACCAGGGGGGACAATCTGATAAATCATATCACATAGGACCAACCAGGGAGGACAATCTGATAAATCATATCACATAGGACCAACCAGGGGGGACAATCTGATAAATCATATCACATAGGACCAACCAGGGGGGACAATCTGATAAATTATATCAAATAGGACCAACCAGAGGGGAGGATAGTTCTCTACCTGTGTGCTCATTTAGCAGTACTGTACACTAACAACTTTTTACTAATATTGATATACTATAGATTAGGCCAAAATCTCCTTATAATAAACAAATATGCAGTACGCTCTCGGTATAGATGATGGTAAGTACAATTACTAAAGAATTAGCGCACCTCATCACTC